CCAGCTCAGTGGATTTGAGAAGTTTGTAAAAGCACAGTCATTCCCTCTGTGCCTCTGGCACAGCCCGGATGATAGGTCGGGGTCTCAGGGAGTCGCCAGCACGGAGGAAATAGCGATGGCGGCGTCTCCGCGCCCCTCGCCTCCCCGGGACACCAGGACTTCTTGTCCCTCAGTGCCAAGGAGCAGCCGCGCGTCAGAGCTTCCCTCGCTCTCCGACCACTGCAAGGCCGTGGCCGCCTCTCCCTGTGGGATCTGGGGCCTCAGAGACCCGCCCCGAGCAAGCCCAGAGGATTCGAGGGTTTGTAACCGCTTTCGATTGAAAAAAAAAAACCGCGAATCCAATTGCAGCCCGCCTGGCGTGTGACTGCGTACCTCTGGTTTTGGTGCCTCTGTAGCTCCCACTCAGTCTCACTGCGCTTCTTTCTTTACTTCCAGTTGTAGATCTCCCACTGGGCCAACTTCCCCATGGTTCTGAGTGGTGGTTGTCTGCCTCATAGTTGGTAGTTTCAATGATGCTGTGAGAGAGCAGCACACACAGGTCCACTCCCTACGCCGCCATCTTGGTTCCCCCACTATTTTCTATGGGTATTCAATTCACAGGAGCAGTTTATTAGGAACTGAGAATTAAAAGATCTAAGCTCAAAAAGTGATTGCCATGCACAAATCTTGAAAAGCTGTGTCTCATTTAATTAAGATGTAAATAGAGGGGTTGAACTGGATGCTCTCTATAGGCTCATTCAGCCTAATAGTCTGCATTCTAAGTAAATCTGATTTTCTATTTCAACTCCTGGCTACTTCCTGTTGGACCTATGAATAAAATGGTTACATAAATGCATTATGAATCTAGATTGATTTACCAATTTAGTTTGGCATGTAGCTTTTTAAATCCTAAAAATTATAAATATAATTATTACCAAGTTTTTTGTTACATAGAACAATCTAAAAACCACAACTCAATCTTTACAGCTAAGAATAAATCATGTGAGACCTGTAACATTTTATTTGTTAAAAATTAACAGCTTCAGAATAGATCTAAATGTAACTTTTCCAAAAAACACTAAAAAGTACAGTGTAAAGCATCTCCTCATTAAATATAAACTTTCATTTTGTGATGCACTGCATCAATGTTTTGCATACACCTTGATGCAAAAGAAATTTTAAGTTGCATCTTATTTAAAAAATAAAACGTTAAGAACTGAAAAAGGATGACAACAACCACATTCTAAGAAAGAAAAATTTCCTCCAACAAAGCATACTCTTTTGTTTATATATAACACATTAGCACTAAAGAATTTTAATTTAGTTATAACAAAAGCAAAATTTTATATTTAAAAAGAAAATGAAATTACAGATGCACGAAGAGCAAAAATTTAATATACCAACGATACTGTGTTGTGGTTTGATGTACTATGTCAATACTTGGGGCAATTTTTAAGGTTTTCCCAAAAAATGCATTAATAATAATAACAGCTCTGTACAATATTTAAAATAACAAGAAAACGAAAACACCTTTATTCCATATTTTCACAAACTGTTCTAAAGACAACAAACTGCTCAGTTGTTTATCCTTGGCTTTAAAATATACTGGTAATTCTAAACCAGTCTAAAATGTATTGTTAATGAATAAAATCTAAGCATTTATATTTGCAAAAATGTTTTGCAATGAGTGAAGCATTGGCCTAAGGAGAGACTAAAATTTATTTTCAAATTGTATAACTGGCTTCCAATAATCCCTTATCAGTAGACTTACTGGCAAAATACCAGATATTAAGGATCAGATTTAATTCTTTGGTAGAAGCATGAAACTGTTTCTGAGAGCTTTTCATGGCTAGCATAAACCAAGTAACCCAAGGAGCATGGGAGACAATAATGAAGTCTAGTATACAATGCAAGTCAGGCAGGAGCCATAACTTAACGTTTTGTTTTTAAACAGGGAAAATCAACACTAACAGTACACTCTAGGGAAGGAATCTAATACCTACTTAGAAGCTTTAATATTATATCAAACCAAAAGATTAAGCTTCAAAATGACTAAATTTATAACTGGATATTTTGCTGCATTTTGGCTTTATACTGTAACTTGTAGTATACAACAATCTGAGGACTCTTAGCACTAGCTTGGCACAACTGACTAACTTCTCCTATCCCTCCCTCCAGAGTGTGGGGGGAAATAATATTCTTCTCACCATAAATGCCTCAATTTCATACAAGTCAGAGCGAAAGGTATAAAACAAAGTTACAACATAACTATATTTTCATTTTGCATTTTTTTCTTTGTGACATATACAAGTATATTTTTGTTTTGGGGGCTGTATACTGTTTAATTTAGCAAGTTTAAAGCCTATAAAATTTAACTTTTCGAAGAAGAGTATAGGACTTTATAGCTTTTAATTTTATCATCAAAATATCTAAGGGACTCAATCCACTTTAATAATTATAATTTTTCTAAATATCACTTGAAAAATTCTTTGTGAACACTAGACTCAAGACTACACTAAATCCAAACAGTATACCTATGACCTGGGTTTTAAAGTTTTTCACCTCAGTAACCTGCCTTCAACCTGCTACTTCCTCTCATGCTTTCTTCATTTACTTACAAAAATTGTCAGATTTTTACATTGGACTTTCTCCTCCAAGGCTCTATTAGGCATATTTGTAAACATGCATTTATTGCCTTCAAAGAGCAACATTTTAAACTGAGACTTATGCTAGAGTCACCTTTCTTGTTAAAATTTCAACTTTAAAGATTTATAACTCTGGAGCATTAGCCTAACACTATCTGAAAAATGAACCAAGTTCCAGATCTTCCCATAAATCTTAAAACCCAAAAGTAGAATTCTAAGTTTTTAAATATCTCTAATGAAGGAAGTCAACTGCACTTACTACATCAACACTATTAAAGGATAAGGGACAGCAACAAAAGGACCTACTCATATTTCTGAAGACCAAGATTTACCATGGCAAAGTACAAAAAGTGGGCAAAGGAGATGAAATCCTAAATACCACTATCATAAAAATAATTTTTGTCTTTCTGTCTTTCTGCTGTATGAGGAACCAAAAAGTCAACTGGAGAATTGTTCAATCTGGCTCAACCAAGAAATCTTTAACAGGTAGGCATATTCCCTGTTATTCTTTCAGGGCATTATTTATACGTTAAAAAAAAAAAAACTTCAAAAATAAAAAGAGTATTTAGCCTTGTGAATATTTTGAAATAAAGTTTCTTGAATTTCTGTGATAAACTCTTCAAGCAATTCAACTTTTTTAACAGAGTCATCACTCAAAAGTCCCTTTAACATGGGTTCTATCCCACGGTTACAAAGCGGCTTCCTCCTTTGTTGAATGTGAGAGTGGCTCTTTGTTCCTTCAGGATTCCAAATCGCTCATTCAAAGTCATCCCTGTCTAGAAAAAACAAAACAAAAATTAATAACTTGATTGTAAGCCATATTTACTTTGGAATAATGTGATCATCATGGTAATTCATAGTAACAATGGCTAGCATTTCCTGAATATTTGTGCGTATGAACTCTAATTCTAACAAAAACCATTCAAAACAGGTGAATTTAGTGATGTTAGAGAAGTTAATTTGCCTACTTGGACGTTCCAGAATTCAAACCAGAAAGTTTAACTCAGAATCTCTATCTCCTAACCAATGTAATGCCTACATTATACATAGAACACCTATACTAGAATGCCTACAAGTCGTACACCCAAAGATTTCTCTATCTGAATTATGTTTAGGCTCTGCAAACATTGCCATCAATTCTAGTGATGCCTCTGATAAAAGTAGTTGTTTAGTCTTGTGAATATTTTGAAATAAATTTTCTTGAATTTGAGTTCTTGAATTTTTGAAATAAACTCAAATCACATTAAAATCTGGTTTTTGATTAACAACAAACAGCACACCCAAATTATATTCACCACTTCTGAAAGGAAAGTAACAACAATGAAAAAATAAAGTAAAAATAAGCAAAATAAATTTGGTGAAATTTCTGTCTATACTTCATACCTTCAATTCCACAGATTTTTTATGTCAATGGATACAAAAAAAGCATTTGACAAAATCCAACACCCACTCAGCAAATTACGAACAGAAAAGAATTCCCTAAATCTGATACACAGAATCAACTAAAAACCTACTGCTAACATCATACTCAATGGTGAAACATTTGCTTTCTCCTCAAGCCTGGGGACAAGGCAGGCATACATGCTCTCACCACTTCTATTCAACATTGTACTGAAGGCTAGCCATTATAACAAACAAGAAAAAGAAAAGGTTTAAGGACTGGAAAGGAATTTGGAGAACGACATAATTTTTTACATAGAAAACCCTAAGGAATCTACAAAATTACAAAAAGTAATAAGCAAATTTTAAGCAAGATCACAAGATTCTAGGTTACTACAAAAATTATCAAAACCACAGTGAGATATACCACAGTATATATTGCACTTGGATGGCTACATATGTATATATGCAAATGAAGATAATAAGTGTTGGTGAGGATGTGGAGAAATTTAGAACCCTCATACATGCTGGTAGCAATGTAAAATAGTGTAGCCACTTCTGGAAAATAGTCTGGCAGTTACTCAAAAAATTAAACATTGAGTTATAAGGTGACCTAGCAATTCCATTCTTAGGTATTAACCAAGGAGAAATGAAAACGTAAACTCATACCAAAACTTGTAAATGTTCAAAGAAGCATTATTCACAACAGCAAACATATGGAAACAACACAAATGTCCATTAACTGATAAATGAATAAATAAAGTATGCCATATCCATAAGATGGAACATTATTCAGCAACTAGGAGCCAAATGCATGAAATTCGTGCAAGAGGCTCCCCTCGCAGCCCCGGCTCGTCCGTCCGTCAGGAAGGTCGTTCGGCTGTCCAGTCTAATTAGCATATTACGCTTTTATTATTATAGATTAAAGAAATGAAATATTGATACTCTATGAGTGAACCTTGAAAAGACTATGCTAGGTAAAAGAAGCCGGTCACAAAACAGCATGTATTATATGATCTCATTCATATGAAATGTCCAAAATAGGCAAGCCTATAGAGACAGAAGTAGATAAATCAGTGGATTCCTAAGGTTGAGGAGACTTAGGACCCTCTATTTAACTCATTATACAACATTTGTTTTGTTAACTAAAATATTATCAATGAATGGCCCAAAGAAATAACAGGGGGAAAAATTTACCTGTTTTCCCACACTATTTATATCAAATTGCAGGGGAACACCTTTAGGGACTTTCTTTACATCAGATTGCTCCCGTTTTGCCAAGAATGAAGGCACAGCAGTACGAGTTAATCGTGGTTTCTGAGTTCTATTAGAAAAAGATTAAAATGAAATTAGGTCAGCTTAACAATCAAAAGAAGAAAAATAAAATCATTTAGTACATAAAGACATCCTGACTTATACACATGTTCAAATGTATTAGGGCAACTATTTTATTTGTGTTTACAAAAAAAGGTGTATGGTTTTTGACTGACTAATCTAGAGAATAAAATATATATAGTTACTCATAGACTACCTCTTTAAGTGGAACTATAAACTTTTCAACAATTTGGAATGATTGGTGATTTCCAAGTCTTGATAAGACAACCTCTAGAGTCTTATTAAAGACCTATCTTACATTCTTTCTTCCATTTCAGTCATTAAAATGGCTACATAGAGCAAAAACTCCATAAACTTAGAAAGTTTATAATGCAATAAATATAATGGAATGGTTAACTAAATTAAGGTTAACTAGATAAAAGAACACACTATGACTTTTAAAAAGAAAGTACTTTTTAAAAAAAGGTACTTTAAAATATACTGAGATGAGGGGGGAGAAGGGAGAAAGTAGGTATATGATTATCTCATTTACTATTATACATTAAAATAGATGTATCTAACATTTTTTATAAACTTTTATTTATTTATTTAAAATGTTTTTATTGACTTTAGAGAGAGGGAAACAGAGAGAGAGAGAGAGAGAGAGAGAGAGAGAGAGAGAGAGAGAGAAAAACATCAATGGGCTGCCTCCTACACAACCCCCCTTACTGGGAATTGAGCACACAACCTGGGCATGTGCCCTGACTGGGAATCTAACCAGCGACCTCTTGATGCATGGGCACGACGCGCTCAATCAACTGAGCCACACCAGTCAGGACCATGCACTGAACTTTTAAAATAAAAATATTGTCAGGAGTTGTTACCTTGGGGCTGTAGAACCAGGAATCAAAGGTGCTTTTACTTTTAACTTTATACTATGTTATTTTTATTTTGTATATCAAGTATTACTTTTATCCTTGTCTCAGTTTATCCTAACTTGGACATCACACTCCGAGCAGGAATCCAATACTTTTCTATTATTTTATATACTGAGAGATTATAATTTCTGCAAAATAAAGAAAAGACTTACACTGGGCACTGCACTGCTCCAGGGTTATCAATGGATACAGTTAAAATTCCTCCATTTGTGGTGGAAGTCCGCCATCTGGTTTCAAAACACCAAAAACTTCATTAGAATATAGCCATTACTTTTTCTTAGCTTTTTAAAAATACAGCATCTTGGGTGTAGGAACTGGATGTTCTATTAAATATTTTTCGGTGTAACAAATATATGCACATTAAAAAATCAACTACAAAAAGGTTTTTAATGAAAAGTAACCGCCTTTCACCCCACTATTTTCCCCCTTCTTGTTCCCTAGAGGCAGTACTTTTAACCTTTCCTGTTTTTATTGCTTGCTGGTTCCCTCCAGTTCACTAAACAAGATGCTTGTGTAATATATATTTTTTTAATCAATAAAGTTTGCATAAGCACATTTTACTTATTTTTTAAAATCTTTATTGTTGAAGTATTATATATGTTCCCTCATCATTATTCTTTAGTTTCCCTACCTAACTCTAAATATTTTGATGGCAATATCACTACTTTACTTCCATCATAACTTTAAATATACGTAAACATCTTTCTTTCAGTAGTATCGCTTGATAACCTCCCCTCCCCACTTAGTATAAAAGAATAGTAGTACCTCCCTTCCTTCCACCTCTTCTCTCACTTTGTACCTCCCACTTTTTGTCAGCTCTACTTCTATATTTATGTTAATCTGAATCTGACATTTACATTATATTCTGATACCAAATTTAAGAATTTTGTGCTTTGTTCCATAGGTTGATTCTCAAAGTTCAAAACAAATGAACAGTATTTATATTATAATTATGTAAATATTATTCATGTAGAAGCAAATAAGCTATGACTATAATTTTCTTCCTTATGGTTACCAATGTCGTAACTCCTGTACAAAAGAATACTGCAAGCATCAAGTTGAAATGGTTTCCTTTCCTATATTCAAAATCATACCCCATATTGGTTGGCATCATACCATGACCATGTTTTGTTTTCTAAAAAGTAGCTATAAGTTTAAATAGTTTAATCTCAAAACTTGATATTGACAGAACTAAAATGTTGTAAGTCATACTTGGGAAATGCAATTCTGACCAAAAAAAAATTTTTTTTTAAACCTTAATAGGGGTTATGGGGGGAAAAAAGAGTATGTGAAAAAAGAAAATATTCTATTGTTCTTGAGAGTTTACAAATTTTAAAGCTCTACTGTATTTTCTTCTATTTATTCCTTGAATAGATTCATTTGTATAAAAGAAGTTATAGAAAATAAAGGAATGTTTCATTAAAATGGAACTTAATAAAAACTAAAAATAGAGGAATGTATTTGATGCTAAAACTTTTATACACTGACATGTGAAAATACAAAAGATTTTGGGAGGAAAAAGAGCAAAAAATAGTTTATTTCGGACTCAATGGTTAATTTACTTTAGGTCTCATTTAATTTCTTTTGGACTAGGGCACAAAGTAATTTGGGTAGCTAGTATTCTGGGAGTTCTGAAATGACACCTTGAAAAACAAATTGAAACTTACTGACGAGTTCTCTTTGCTACTACATCATCTAGCAGTTGTTCTGTGTTCAACTGGGCCTGAACCTGAAGGGGAAAAAAAAGCAGTAGGTCCCACAGAAAGCAGAGTATCTGAACGCAAAGAGCTATCCTCCAAACTTTATAAAACCCATTAAGATATGTGTATGAATGTAGGAGGGGCATATGACTATTCTGGCAATACCTCTTTGTTAGGGTTCTGCATCAGAACAAGTAGTAAAAACAGGTTTATTCTAAATAACATGTTAAATTCTTGTAAGAATAGAGGCCCAGTGCACGAAATTCGTGCACTCGGGGGGTGTCCCTCAGCCCGGCCTGCGCCCTCTCACAGTCCAGGAGCCCCGTGACCCATCGCCCTGCAGAGGGAGGCCCCACCCACCTGCTGCAGCCCGCTGGTCGGTAGCCTGGGCCTCCCTCTGCGGGGTGATCATGGGGCAGTGGCAGAGCCCCCCTGACCAACTGCATCGTACCCGCCTTGGCTGGCTTGGCACCAGTGCATGTCATAGCATGAACGTCTGGACGGTCATTCTGCTGTTTGGGCGATTTGCATATTATGCTTTTATTATTACAGATAGATGGTGCTACTGAGGACAACAAGAGAGAATTGGGGGCAGGGAGGAACTAACCTAATGTCATGTTCTCTATATCCAAACCCAACCCCTACTTCAATCATGGGCCATCCCTATGATTAAGGATTACTAAAGATAGATGTTCAGAATCCTTTGGGTAAAAAGAAAACACAACCAAGGGTTTTTATACCTTCAGGCCTCTTCTGAAAAGAAAAGTTGCCTGACGAGTGTCTTTCTGATGACTTAATTTATTTCCATTCCTGGTATAATTGGTTGGGATGTTATTTCTGCAATAAAAACACATATGCATGAATAGTCTCAGCCATTTAACAACTTTCAAATATCTTGAGAAAACAATAAGCAAAAACAGTTTAATTCATTGGCTAAAAATGTGAGAATACACTAAATATAAAGACTCTGAATTTATCAGAAACTATTGAGATTTGATTTACAAATATCTCCCTCTGGCCCAGCTGGCATGGCTCACTGGTTGAGCATTGACCTATGAACCAGGAGGTCACAGGTTCAATTCCAGGTCAGGGCACATGTCCTGGTTGTGGGCTTGATCCCCAGTAGGGGGTGTGCAGGAGGCAGCCTATCAATGATTCTCTCTCATCATTGATGTTTCTATCTCTCTCTCCCTTCCTCTCTGAAATAAATAAAAATATGTATTAAAAAATTTGGTGAAAGATTTATTTACAGGGTTAATACAAAGAAAATCACACCTAAACACATCATAGTCAAACTGACTGAAAATAAAATCTTTTTTTCTCAATATATGTTTTTTTATTGATTTCAGAGAGGAAGGGAAAGGGAGAGATAGAAACATCAATGATGAGAGAGAATATTGATTGGCTGCTTCTTGCATGCCCCGTACTGGGGATTGAGCTCGTAACCTGGGTATGTGCCCTTGACCAGAATCGAACCTGGGACCCTTCAGTTCACAGGCTCACATTCTATCCACTGAGCCAAACTGGCAAGAGCTGAAAAGAAAATCTTGAAAAACAGCATCTTTTTCAGTTTTCCTTTCTCACTTAAAAACCTTTTCATATTAACATAATAAAAGAGAAACGTGTAAATTGACCATTCCTCTGCTATGCTCACCAGCCAATCAGGAGCGAGTATGTAAATTAACCTGACAAAGATGACGGGTTAATTTGCCTACACAGGCGCTGGGTGGAGAGTAGAGCGAGAGAGCCGGCAGAGAGTGAAGAGGCTTGGGGAACTTGGCTCCCCAAGCCGCCAGACAGAGAGCAGAGAGGGAGAGCTGGCGGCTTGGAGGACTTGGCAGAATGGGAGGCTGTGGGACAGAGACAGAGCAGGAAGGGAAAACCAAGAGCGTGGGGAGCACCAGGAATTCTGGGAATAGTAGTTCTGGTGGCAGCCCCAGGACCTGAAGCAGAAGCCCAGAGCGCGGGGAGCACCAGGAATGCTGGGAATCATAGTTCTGGTGGCAGACGGAACTCCTAAACCAGTGGTCGGCAAACTGCGGCTCGCGAGCCACATGTGGCTCTTTGGCCCCTTGAGTGTGGCTCTTTGACAAAATATCATGTGTGGGCGCGCATGTACAGTGCGACTGAAACTTCATGGCCCATGTGCAGAAGTCGGTATTTTGTGGAAGAGCCAAAGAGCCGCATGTGGCTCGCAAGCCACAGTTTGCCGACCACTGTCCTAGACACTAGAGCAAAGTGAGCCTGGAGCAAGTTACTGTTGCGGTGGGGGATGGAGGGAAAGCAAAGGTGAGAGATCTAAGTAAAATCAGAAGTGTCTAGGAAAAATTAAAGGGAAGATATCCTAAAACTTCCAGGAAATCTCCACCAATGAAGCAAAGAAAAAAAAAGCCTCTATTATTCTGTGAGCAACAAACCAAACTGGGTTGGGGGGTCTCAGACAATTCGCTCATATGACTGCACAGACAGACAGAAACTCCCGGACTGGAGAGGGCCCCCCTGAGGGCTCCCAGATTGGAGAGGGAGCAGGTTGAGCAGTGAATCTTTGTGCACTGGGCCCCTAGTATTAACATAAATCACAGAGAAACTTCTATCTTTCACTGCTTGTTCTTTCCCACACAGAACAATGTACTCTCTTTGTAGTTTCTACAGAAAGTTGGTAAAATATGAGAAAACAAATTGTTATATTTATCTTTTTGAAAAGATTGTTAAAAATTGGTTTTTAGCCTTAGTTGGTGTGGTTCAGTGGATACAGCGCTGGCCTGCAAACTGAAGGGTCCCGGGTTCAATTCCAGTCAAGGGCACATGCCTGGGTTGTGGGCTCGATCCCAGTGGGGGGTGTGCAGGAGGCAGCCAATCAGTGATCTCTCTCATCATTGTTGTTTCTATCTTTCTCTCCCTCTCCCTTCCTCTCTGAAATCAATAAAAATGTTAAAAAAAATGATTTTTAAAGAGAAGAAGGCAGAAGGATAGAGAAACATCGATCGGCTGCCTCTTGTACACCCTCTACTGGGGATCAAGCCTACCACCCAGGCATGTGCCCTGACCAGAAATCAAACCTTTTGGTGCACAGGACGATCCCCACTCAACTGTGCCACACTGGCCAGAGCTCTACTTATTTATTTTTACAAATAAATGCTGAAATGTTGCCAAATCTTACCTCCAATTTTATAGAGGCTCAAATGCAAACTTCCCTACCTAGCCCAATTAATATGGGCTCATTAATGACTCATGTAATTGATAAATTATTATCTGATAAGTTCCCCTTTTCCAATAGGTACTACCAAATGATTCTCAAAAGAAAACAATATTTAAGTAAAAGTGCAATTCCAGCCATTCCATTTATACAAAGACTTCATTTCAGGGTTCTTTTATTTTGAATTATCTTCTATAAAAGATGAATAAATAGTATTTGAAACTGAAATAAGGAAACATCACAGCTTGTCAACTTCCTTTGTGTACACTTTATCATTATAGAGACCAGAATGCCATAACAATAGGTCATCATTTTTAAGTTATGTCTTTCAATTTCATATAAAAATAATTTCACCTTAAGAAGCATCCATACAGAATTCTTTCTAGTTTACTTTGCCCATAAATAACATAGACTATTCTTTTAAGAGCCACTGAGACTGAATAACATATTCAGCTTTTAGAATTCCCAATTTTGAATAATTGTTTACCAAAACAATTCACCTTTTGCAATATTATTCTATATGTTAAAAACAGTAGAGAAGCAGAATGCTGTTTTTTTAAAAAGTTTACAATTAGTTAAATTCATCAATAACTGCATCTAAGAAATAAGAAAAGTTATTTGCTTCCATGTTGGATGATCAGATAAACACTACAAATTGCTGTCTTGAAAATGACCAGATAACTGTAAGAACCACTGAAAATTCATTCCTTCGAACACTTAGGCAAGAAGTATATCTTTATTTATGCAGGATAACATTATTATCTTATATTTGAGTACTTACTTTCTATTTAGCTGGTTAGGTCTCTTAAGAACTGCAACTGGTTTTCTCTGCACTTCATTTTGTCTCAGAAGGTTTGCCTTCCTTTTTAACGCTGGAAAATATCTCTCTATATTCTTTCAGAAGGCAAGAAACTGTTAGTCAGATTGCTTTTTACTCTATATCCTATTACAATAAACATTTCTGAGGCAGAATGGACAAGGACTGACCACTGCTTTGATGTGCAGGTTACAGAAACAGAGAAGCTGCAACAACTTGAATATTTCCAGTCTAAGTGACTGAAAAGACAACCACATTATACTCAAAATACTTGCAACAAAAAGAATTTGGACAGAAAAATAACTTTTATCTATTTTGGATCTGTTCAGTTTGAAGTGCTGGGGGATGTACAGGTGATGGGGGAACATGGATCTGGAGATCAAGAGAAGAATGAGAGCCAGAGATGTAAATTAGGGAATCATTTATATAAACATGGTTTTGGATATCAAGTAAAGGGATGAGAGGGGCAAGTTCCAAAACAAACGTGCGAAAAAGAAAATAAAAAGGAGGCTGTAATAGCAAAGAAGGCTAAGTAGAAATGGCTACAGAGAAAAAAAAGAAATCAAGAATATTCAATGTCACAATAACAAGCACATACAATGTGCAACAACAATTTTTTTAACTTCATGAAGTACTAAATGATTTAGTATTATGAGTCAAGTTAAAAGTTCTACAAAACAACATACTTCCAGCTTTATGAAGTTCTGAATCTAGAGAAAAAAATTATAGAATTGATACTGACAAAGTTCTATATCCCAACAGAAGAATCCAGACTGGGCCAATTTTTACTTCTTGATAGATATTTTAAGTTGATTTTCAAACCAAAAAGGAAATTCATTCTTAGACACAACCCTTCCCCTCTCAGCACAGCCATTTGCTCTATTTACATTACTACTATTTAGTAGTAATATTTAGTAGCACTGTAAATGAGTTTGTTATCTTTCCCACTTAGTTATTCAATTCATAGGTAAGAAGAAAGTACATTTTTACTGAAATAAAACATTAATTTTTAAACTATGATAAGGAAGAGATAAAATTAAGTCTAATTGTGACCAGAAATTTTTATTGAAGTATAAAATTTTGATTTTGAAAATATAGCAATTCTAGGCCAATTAAGTTATTTAAGTGCCTTATTTAATGAACAGAAAAGGATGGCATGAGTTATTTACATGTAAATAGATATTTTCTAAATTGCTGAAAAATAATTTGCTTCACAATTACTATATTATATCCTAATCAGACTAGTAATCTTATTCAGGCTGAGGATAGGGTTTTTAAAAAAAAAAACCAGCAAAATTTCAAACCATATCTTTGCCCAAATCATTCAAACTTTGAATAAATGGCCCAGCTGGTGTGGCTCAGTGGTTGAGCATCAACCCATGAACTAAGAGGTCGCCGGCTGATTCCCCCTCAAGGCACATGCCCCAACTGCATGCCAATCCTCAATGGGGGGCATGCAGGAGGCAGCTGATAGATGTGTCTTTCTCATCGATGTTTCTCTCCATCCTTCTCCCTTCCTCTCTCTTTAAAATCAATTAAAAAATTCTTAAAAATTTTAATAAACTTATTATTCAGTACATTTCTAGCATTCTATAACACAATTTTCACTATTTTCAAACAACTCAAAAGACTACATGTTGGAATTTAAAATTTTATTAGAAGACATAATTAATTAGCAGTTAACTCAAACTTTCTCCTAGTATCCATATCTCACTAATGTTTTCTAACTTCTAAGAAACAGTAAGATCTTTGATAAAGGTTTAGGGAAGAAAACATCTGTTGGTGGCGACAGAATTAAAAAGTTAAATAAGAGCCAAAACCGGTTTGGCTCAGTGGATAGAGCATCGACCTTCGGACTGAAAGGTCCCAGGTTCGATTCCGGTCAAGGGCATGTACCTGGGTTGCGGGCACATCCCCAGTAGGAGATGTGCAGGAGGCAGCTGATCAATGTTTCTCTCTCATCGATGTTTCTGACTCTCTATCTCTCTCCCTTCCTCTCTGTAAAAAATCAATAAAATATATTTAAAAATAAAAAATAAAAATAAAAAGTTAAATAAGAGATCTAAGACAGTTATGGTTCTTAACCAGAATATGCACACTTAAGATAATTTAAGGAATAAATGTTCTGAATTTTCTTTCTTATTCTTTTTTTTCTTTAAATCCTCACCTGAGGATATTTTTTCCATTGATTTTTTAGAGAGAGTGGAAGAGAGGGAGGAAGGGAGAGGATAGGGAGAGAGAAAAACATTGTTGTGAGAGAGACACATAGGTTGGTTGCCTCCAATCAAACCTGAGGTACACATGCCCTTGGCCAGGAATCAAACCCGGGACCCTTAGGTCCATGGGCCGATACTCTAACCACTGAGCAAGCCAGCCAGAGGAAATGTTCTGAATTTTCTTACATATATGTATTATTTTCATAATCAGAAACCAAAAAGACTAAAAATAGAGGCACAGAACATTAAATTCCTTAGTGGCTTAGATCTATGAAATATAATAGGAGAAAAACCATTTGTGAAACTATTTTAAGAAATGCTTTAGCCAATTCAAAATAAATTACTCATTGAGTAATTTATTACTAAGTTTTTAGAAAGTAGTTAATTCATGGTAGGTAAATCATTGTAACTCTAATTAAAAATATCAACAAGGGGACAGTTATCTACCCCAAGAGAAATGAAAACCTATGTCCATATGAACTTACAGGTGAATGTTCACAGCTCTGTTATTTACAATATCAAAAAGGTGAAAATAACCAAATTAAAAAAAAAAAAAAAAAAAGTGAAAACAACCAAAATGTCCAACTGGTGAATGGATAAACAAAATATAGTATACCCATATAATAAACTATTATTCAATAATTAGAGGTCTGGTGCATGGATTGGTGCACTGATGGGGTCCCTCGGCCTGGTCTGCAGGGATAAGGCTGAAACCAGCTCTCCGACATCCCCCAAGGGGTCCCAGATTGCGAGAAGGCAGTTCCCAGGTAATGCACCCTGGAATTGGGCTCCTTATTCTCTGGTTCCAAGTGCATCACCCAAGAACCACTGCTGCCAAGTGACCATAGCTTGGCAGCTCCTGCGTTGAACGCCTGCCCTCTGGTGGTCAGTGTCTGTCATAGCTACTGGCCAGTCGCTTAGGCTTTTTAAATCTATATTAACAATTTATATTAATAAAAGGGTAATATGCTAATTAGACCAGATAGACCGGGCGTCTTCCAGACGTCCTTCTGGACAAAGCCACAGTGGCTGCGAAGGCCAAGGAGGGCTGGCAGCTGTGGCTGCCAGCAGTGGCAGCAGCAGCAGGGTGATGAGGGCTGCGCTTTCCCCTGATCGGGCCCCGTCACCTCCCGCAGAGTGAGGCCAGACTGTGGAGCGGGCCTAAGCTGTCAGTAAGACATCCCCTGAGGGCTCCTGGACTGTGAGAGGGGGCAGGCTGGGCTGAGGGAACCCCCCCCCAAAGTATGAATTTTCGTGTACTGGGCCTCTAGTTTATAGATAAAAAGGAACGAAATTCATGCACTGGTGGGGTCCCTAGGTCTGGTGGGAGATCAGGGCTGATCAGGGCCAGGCCGATCAAGGCCCAAAGGCCCTGGCAGGGCTAGGAGAGGAGGTGACTGTCGCCAGGCTGGGCGGGGAAGAAACAGATGCCAGATGCTAATGCTGCCCTCGGCGCCCCACCACCCCGTGGTTCCCTACCTTCCCACCCCCCCTCCTTCCCTCAGTGCCATGCTGCCACCAGGGGCCTGCTGGCCAGGGGAGGGACAGGGGGAGGTTTTGATCCCCAGTTTGGAACGTGCAGGCGGCAGCCAATCAATGATTCTGTATCATCATTGATGTTTCTATCTCTATTTCCCTCTCCGAAATCAATCAAATGTATATTTTTAAAATGCAAGGGTTTAGAGGAACAAAGGTAGGGCAAGGGAGCTATTGACAGGGGGGCATTTGAGATCTTGCTCTCATTTCAAACAGGATAACATAAGGTGGTCCTCAGGGGGTGACAGGTAAGGAGTGGCAGTGCGTGGAACAGGGTACTTTGGGCTGACGAATGGGCTGTAATGACTGGAAATGTCTCTGACAGTGACACTGAACGTGTGTTGGGGCCATCGCTTGGATCATTCATCCCCAAGAGGTTTTGATTACAGACAGGAGGAGAAACATGGAGATAAGCAGGCCTTTCTTAGCCTAGAAGGTGAGGCGGTTGGCAGGAGTGGGTTGCCCTGCTTCCCTACAAATGTAAACACACAGTGTAACTGTACATGGATATCAGTCAGTGGCCAAATCAATGCCCAGCCAGCCCTGGTGGCTGTGTCCTGCCACTCTCTGGCGGTGCTGCGGCACTATTGGCTGGGGAAGCCGAAGCCACATCCCCAAGCGCACTAGTATTGAAGGGGTGGGCAAGAAGCCAGAAGCTGGAAGTCGGAGCTGAGGCAGCCCAGTAGCACTGTGTCCACCATGGGAACTGGACAGGGAGCAGCTGTCAGTGCAACAGGCTTTGGAGTCAGAGGGGCTGCGCTTCCAGCACGTCACCAGTGAGTCCCCGCGAGCCCGCGGCGTGCCAGCTGGGCCAGGCGGGGTCAGGGAAGGCCTTTCCCTCCTGGAGCCATTCTTCCTAGGGTGGCGGCATCAGACTGCTTTTTTTTTCCAGTTTATATTTTTTATTGGAAAGCAAGCTCTGGGCTTGCGGTTCCTGGGATCCCTGGGCCATAGCGTGCACCTCCAGGACTCACTGCACCCCCCACCCCCTCCTCCTGCATTGAGCATATGGCCCCTGGTGGTCAGTGCGTATCATAGTGACTGGCTGACCAATAGTTCTAGTCGCTAGGCTTTTATTTTGCAGATAAAAAGGAATGAAGTACTGATACATGCTACAACATGATGAACCTCAAAACATTATGGCTAAATGCCAGACTACATATTATTGTATTTATATAAACTGTGTAGAAAAGACAAATTTCTAGATAATCACACAGAAAGTAGATTAGTGGTTGCCTCTGGCAGATGATGAGATATGACTGTGAATGGACATGAGACTTCTTTTTAGATTGATAGAAATGTTCTAAAATTAAACTGTTGTGATGATTTTATAAATATAAATTATTGAAAATTCATTGAATTGTATCCTTAAAACAAATTAATTTTACAGTATAAAATTATACCTTAATAATCTGTTAAAAATCACACACACACATGGAAAGTCAGGAACCTGTAAAAAATTTTTTATCTTATTTGAGAATGTGGAATTTAGGTATTATTCGTGAGTAATAATGATTTTTATCTCATTTCATTATTTATATAAGCCCAAAGTACTATTTAAAAATCAAAAATACTCTCTCAAGGTCATTCACAAAATATTAGTACAAATAAAGAAAAAGGGTATCAGATTCAGCATTAAGCCATCATCTTCCTACCTTGTCACTTAGAGGCGGTCGATTCATAGGACTAATTCCTTTTCGAATTCCAGTTGTTTTCCTAGCTGCAAGGCCAGTGATAACTCCATAAGGACGTCTCTTCCCAGGCATCATTCTTCCTCTACGGCTCAGATTATTCTTACCAAAACCTGTGGGGGGAGGCGGGGGGGGGGGGGGGGGGGGGAGAAGAAAGAAAAAATCCCAATCAAAGAAATGCAACTGAGGGGCACAAAGGTCACAAGATATTCTACAGTATTATTATTTATATATGTTTCTTTTGAATTACATAAAATATCTCATTTTTAAAGAGGCAATAAGTTGCACTGGAAAGGGTTCTGTTGCAGAAATAAACTATTCCTTTCTATCTCTCTTTTTCTCTCTGGCTTTGCTTTCTTAATAAGATTGCCTCAACTTTCCCTGTATAATATTTTAGCCACTAACTACATGTGGGTATTGAAGATTTGAAAAATGACTAGTCTAAAATGAGATGCAACAAAAGAATGTACAGTGATTCATTAATAATTTTTATGTGGCTCACATTTTATTTCAGTTGACAGCACTAACCTAAAGTGGAATCACTATCTTTACCTCCCATTTACTTACTACCTTGCAATCTGGCTTCTTCATTTTCAGTCCTACTGTATTCAAACTGTTTTTGCTAAAGTCCCCAGTGAGTTCCAATGGAATACTTTAATCTCTGTGACTTGTGACAGTACTGACTTTGCTTTTCCATTATGTATCTTACTTATTTTTTTCTAATTATGAAAAAATAAACATGCTCACTGCAGAAAACTTAGAAACATATAAAGTACAAATAAGAAAATAAGTTACCCATTATTCCACCACCTGGAGATAACCACTACTAACATTCTATGTCTTCCTAGTCTTTTCTTTATTTGTATATGTACATTTAAAAAGTTAACATCCTTAGTTTCAACTATTTTTAAGCAATTCCAAAGACTATCACATGAAGTAAATCATAATTTTGTAGTACCAAGTGCTTACAAGGTGGATTGAGTCTTCTAGCAAACCACACTTCATATTCTACGTACTATTCTGTAGTCTATATTCACACTATATTGTATCATCCCAGATATTTAATTCTTTTACTACATTATTTTTTAATGTGCCATATACTTAATCCAACCAATTTCATACTATTCATTTCAGTTACTTCTAATGTTACACTATTTGTATATGTACATTTAAAAAGTTAACATCCTTAGTTTCAACTATTTTTAAGCAATTCCAAAGACTATCACATGAAGTAAATCATAATTTTGTAGTACCAAGTGCTTACAAGGTGGATTGAGTCTTCTAGCAAACCACACTTCATATTCTACGTACTATTCTGCCAGTGCCGAGAGATTGGGACCAGCGCCGGGTGCCGGCAGCGGGTACAAGCATTGGCTCCAGCACCGGCTGCAGGTGCAAGTGGGGCCGGCGCTGGCAGTGGGTGTGAGCAGGGCCATCGCCGGCAACAGGTGCTAGAGGTGGCTGCTGGCCCTGATCGCCCCTCAGGAGCAGGGGGAGGTAGAGAAGTCCTGAGGGGCAATTGGGGCCAGTAGCTGCAGCTTGCACCCGCTGACGGCGCCAAATGATCAGGGATGGCACTGAGTGATGAGGGCCAGCGCTGGGTGCCGGCAGCGGCTGAGAGCAGGGCTGGCAGCAGGTGTGAGTGCTGGGCAGGACTGTGGTGAACTGCCCTAACTGGTTTGGCTCAGTGCCCTAACTGGTTTGGTTCAGTGGATAGAGTGCCAGCCTGCGGACTGAAAGGTCCCAGGTTCGATTCTGGTCAAGGGCATGTACCTTGGTTGTGGGAGGTGTGCAGGAGTCAGCTGATTGTATCCATCTGGAACAAGTGTTCCAGTTTCTAACTCTCTATCCTTCTCCCTTCCTTTCTGTAAAAAGTCAATAAAATATATTTTAAAAAAAATTTTCACTAACCACCAGAGGCTTGCCCTGATGACAGCGACCAGTCCCCTGCTTTGGTCTGGCGCCCCCACTCACCTGCTCCACCATCCCACCGCAGCTGATGCCCACCATGTTCCATACACACCCCCTGGTGGTCCGGGCACTTCATAGCAACTGGATGTTTGGTTGTTCCGCCATTTGATCTATTTGCATTTTAGGGTTTTATATAT